AGAGTGTCCCAGAAGAGTGTCCCACAAGAGTGTCCTACAAGAGTGTCATTTGGACATATGTAACTTTTCGAACGTGTTTGCATTCGTGTTTGCATTCTTGTTTAATCCCTCTATAGGAAGTGGCTGTGACCTCAGTTCCCATGGGGATCAAGTTCGGTCACGAACAAAAGAATCGAACTGTTCGTTACGAGCACCCACAGGTCACCACCTGCCCACAAAAAGGGTCGTCTCCATTTTAATCCACCATGTCGCAAAAACCAGGTAGAGTCGGGTAGTGGTAGGGATCTGTTTCTGCTTGGGACTGGCTTTCCAGGAGTGAAGGACCCCCCCTGGCCTCCCGTGTTTTTGGCATGGTCCGAGGCCTAGGCTCCACACGCCGGCTCGCAGCGGTTGTTCAAAACACGCGCTCCACGGGGCTCCACCATTGGAAGATTACCATGTATCTATACTGTCTTTTTGAACAATTGCTTTTGGAGAAACTCGGTTTTAGCGGCAAACACACAGATTTGTTCAAGACAAGACCCTATATACATCTTTCTAGCTTTTAAAAGGTGCTGGTAATCCCAATATAGCAAGGGCAAAATTATGATTATAGCACGTCATGGTCTATGAGACGCTGTTGTAACCAATAAACAAGCAATATAATTCCCATTAATATTACTGACATTGAACGGACTCATGATTTCAAATGAATTACTTGGATATGATATATACTGTTCTTACCTAAAGCAAGCATATGGCTAGAAAGACTTGAACAAGGAAACACATAGAAACACTATGGAACAAACTGCATAGCACACAAGCACACAAGCACACGGTCGCACGTCGCCTTCCGTTCAAACGACCATTCCGACCCAAACAGATCCGTGCATCGACGGAGTCGGAGCGTCCATCGACGGACGGCGCGAACGGCAGCCGACGCTCGTCTACTCGTCGATCTACGGGTCACATCACCCAGACACGACCAGTTTGGGACTGGCATGTCGGACTGGCGCCCCAGACAGACCCCTTTTCAACCCCTAACCGTTTTGAAGGCAGTCCGACATGGCAGTCCCAAACTGGTCGTGTCTGGGATCAAGACGTTGAGGTCCGTCGTAGTCCCCGATGTCGATTCTTGAGGTCGGTCCTGTCACGGAGGTCGGTCCAGTCCATTTCTGCTCCCCTTAGTGGTCTCAGTCTGTTCTTCACCATCGTAATGCTTTGACCCTCATTTCCTTCCACCCTGCAATCGAAGCAGCATTCGAACCCAGATACTCCCACTAACGCTCCGTTCACAGCCCGACTGGTCCCTCAAAACCCTATAGGGATTGGTGAGAAGGTCCGGACCCCTCCAAAGGATTCGGGTCCGGACCCCTACTTTTGCACGGAGGGTCCAGACTTCGCGTCTGGGTAGAAAAAGAATTGTCAGGACCTTCCAACAGGTGGTTGACTTGGGCACCTGACTTGTCACCAGGAGACACCAATCCCGGGATCCCCTGTAGTGGTTGAGGTTCGGCTTCCATGTTCGTTTGAAGATGGATGTGCACGGTCGACCTACCAGACACCCCACACTGGTACGAAGCACCTACCCAGACGCGAAGTCTGGACCCTCCGTCAAAAGTAAGGGTCCGGACCTGAATGAAGGGTCCGGACCTTCTCACCAATCCCTAGCTAGTTTTGAGGAACCAGTCGGGCTGTGAACGGAGCGTCTGGGTCTGCGTGAAGTTTGTTGGGGGGAACCTAATCCTGCCCGTCTGACTGGCTGCAGGTGAACCACTGACTGGCTTCGCATTTTGCACCACCCGCAGCGGACATGCGTCGACACCGGACACTCGTCGAAAACATCAGTCGCAAGAAATACATGCCGAGCTACTTCCAACATGCCGAGCTCTCTCCTTGCCGCAAAACCAAGAGAGGTGACCTGAACAAGGACCCGGGTCACTAAGATGCTACACCTCACAGTCGAAACAAAGCCAACCGGGTGCTTCAACCTCTTCGTGCCCGTCCACGCATCCAACGTGAAGTGACCGACCCATAAGGGACCCATAACCTGAGCTACCTGTGGTATAGTCTATATAGGTCCTTCAACCTCTATACTTGCCAAAAGCGCCGCCTCCGACGAATCGCCCGCTGAATCGCCGGAGCCGAGCGGCCCAAATGCGCAATTCCAGGCGGTCGCCCAAGAGATCGTGCCTGGCGGGCCGTCGGTACCGAACGGACGGAGGGTCGATCCGATGCTCGGAACGACCCAGCAACTCACAGGCGTCGAAACCAGGATGGATGATGTGCCTGATGGATCGGTCAATGGGTTTGGATTCAAGACCAGTGGAATTGAACACTCCAGAAGCAAAAGATCAGGTTCACCCCTCGGCTACGGAGCCATCGTTGCTCTTTGATCTCCAAGAAGAAGCCCCCGCAACGAAGTAAGCGGATGTGGGGGGGGGGTGCAAGTTAGGAAGGGAAGAGGAGGTGGGCAGAACACAGAATTTGGGTTTACGGAAAGGTTCCAAAATCGTGATGAGGCGGCAAAGCCAGTGGAGCGTACAGTGTCGGATGCTTTGGTTCTTGGCCGTAGCCATAGATTCCTAGATGGTTCTGCCCACTTGTGGACCGCAGCGGGTTGGCAACACATGTTGGGTTGGAAGTTGCATGCCCAATTGGATGCTCCGCGCCCAGTTGTGGGACGCTGCGCCAACCAAAAACATCGAGTCCGTGCTGCAGAAGAACGAACGAACACTCGCTGCAGAGACGCTGCAGAGACGCCGAGGCGCGAGTTCCACCGGTGAGTTCCACCGGCGCCCCGGGGGTGACGTGGAGCGGCTCCGGAGCCTCAGGAGGTCGATCTCGGTGTTGTGGCGCTCGGCGCCGTCCACGGTCTCCAAGCCTCGGTTCGGCGGTGTCTTTTGGCCGGTTTTCTGAGCAAATCGGTGGAAGTCCCTGATGTGGGTCCATCGGAACCAGTGAGTCATTCACATGCCATGTAGGAGAAATCGAAGAATCTCGAACAGACATATCCCTGAAGGGCCAAACTGCGCAGTGTCTTGTTTCGGTGGCACTGTGGTGGTGCCGGTCCTGTCCATACGGTCCTGTCACACCGATCACCGGAACCCCGATATGCCGGAACCGGGTCTATCCGAGTCTACCTGGGCCGTGAGTGGATGATGATGGGGCCTGGTTGCAGGCCGTTCAGTTGCAGGCCGACAGTTCAAACACGGTGATTTGCTTGTTTACGGGTCCTGTTACAGGTAAGAACGGACAGACTCAAACAAATTCCTACAGTACATTGACCCGGACCCCTCATTTCATCCCAATGACATATGCCAGTCCCAAACAGGTCATCTTTGGGGTATGGGTTGCAGTGGTCTCTGAACCACCCAGATCAACTGCTGTTACTGGGTGGTCCCGGCTTGAAGTGTGAACAATGGGTTTGTTGGTGACTATATGGAGTGTCTGGATTAGAACCATCCCAAACAACTGTCAGTGTCTTGTTGCGAAAAAAAGAACGTGAGCAAGGCGGACTGAGGTTCCGAACGCTCGATCTTGGCCGTGGTCAGATTCTGCGCAGCTCGGGTGGAACCGCAAAGACCCTATTCTGTGGTTTGCAGCCCCTTTTTCCACCAACAATTCCCTAGCCTTTCAAGAACATGTGAAGTTATGTTCGCCACTTATAGCCAAAGTCTAAGAAGCACTCAAAATGAAAACATGGAGAATAAGAGCAACATAAAAGCAACACCAAAAAGCACAAAGGACAATTGCCTGGATAAGTAGTGCAGTATAGACCAGGTGTTGATGTGGTTGAATTTGGAGAAAAAGTAATAATATATGTCCTCAGTGACCCAACTTCCCCCTGCCCCCTTGCCAATGCCAAAGCCTTCGAAACGGATTCGGGTGACTTGTTGACGCAATTGGAGTCATCAAACACTCCCTGGATCTTCTAGCTAGGCTTAGCTGGTTTTACAAGTCAGTGTCTAGCATCCAACGAGGGCCTCTATGATTCTTGCTTTACTGTAAGCCCTTTAGAACCCTGACACAGGCTTTGTTAGGCTTGGCATGTTACGCCAACGTTGGAAGATCGTACCGCGACGTGACCGGCTGCGACGTCGGCCCCGCTGCGACGACCCGCCTCGGCCACTTCCGCCGTCAGCCCCGTGGCCAGGCCCGAGACGCCTCGGCGGCGGAGCGCGCCGCGCCGCGCGGAACGGGCCCACGGTGGATCGCATGGAAGAGGGATTCACATCATCCAAGAGAGGTTGAGAGGTCGCTTCACGTTCGGACCCTGGTCTGTGGTACGGATGGGCGAAAGAAAGGAAGAAAAACCGATAGTTGGAGGTTCAAGCTTTCATCTTCCAGTGTACAACTCCCTGTTGGTTTACCATTGCTGACCTGGCTACATGTTGTGAGGGAAGCAATTCTGCCTTGGGTGTTTGACAGGCTTCAGATATGCGGGTGCCTTGGTACCTGTGATTGCAAAACATGCCGACCCATCTAACAACTACCAAAGTACCTAGCTGACACTCAAACAACTTGGATTTGCACCCTTAGCCCGACGGTCCAGTCATCACTCTTTTTACCCTCGTGATAAGTGGATTATGACTATTGAGTGGAGTATACGGATCCTGGTTTAAATGACATGTAATCACTTGGTTTCCACGGCACCCCCAAAATCAGCTCTATATCCAAGATATAGCATATCTACCAAGCTTCACCTACAAAAACCAGCCCAAGTTCGGCAGACATGTTGCAGAGTTGGAAGATCCAGGTATCTACAAGGAATGGGAAGGTGGAATCCCTCAGACATGATACAGTCGAAGGCAGGCAGCCTTTGGGGCTGAGAAGCGTGGCAAGAAAGAAAAGAATCTAGTGCTTTTTGTGATGCACAAAATATGGGAAGCTTTTGGCTTGGAAACACTAGATTCTTACTTTCTTGTTTCCATGAAACAGTAGATTCTTCCTGTTTTTTTCTGATGGGAAGTTTGGGCTTGGAAACAATACGCTATAAAAGCCATGGACTTGGGCAGGAGGGTACCTCCACTGGAGGTGCAGGAACTTGCAGGGAGCCTGGCAGAATCCGGATGCTTGGGTTTCTGCAAGGAACTGCACGATGAACCGTGAAGTATCATCCAGTGAAATTGTGCTGCCTCAAACATTCAAATCACTGGATGCCGATGCAGAAGCAGCTCCATCTGCAGCCTTTGCAGCTCCGTCTGCAGCTCCTACATCTGCAGTGGCAGGATTTACTTACACCTTCATCTGCAGTTCCATCAGAGGTCTTCTGTTTTCCCAGCAGCAGATCCAGTTGTTCTGCCATGTTCCTTTTCTTGTCCACGGACCCATTTGGTCCTGCCATTCCAGTGGAGAACCTCCACTCATTCCGGCTATATAGGTGTTGATCCCATGTTTGCGCTTGCCGCTTGACTCCTCAGTCTCTCGAGGCTCCAAAAAACCTGATATCCTTGCCAGTCTCGCCCTTTAACACTATTGGAAGTCTGAACTGAAGTCTGGCTATCTCCAGAGGTTTGCTATCATGGCCATCATCCATTGGAGGTCCCCCAGCTCTTCATTGTGGGAAGTTTCGTCCGGGCGCCGAGGGCTTCAATGTAGCACCAAACAAAGATGGTGCTGAGTCGCTGAGCTCCTCGTCCGAAGCTTTCTCGAGCCATGTCGGCAGGTCAACCGCAGCGCGACCGCCCATCGAAGCCGTAGCCGCCCATCGACGGCCTTGCGAACGGCTTCCTGAGCAAGGCAACGAAGTCGAGGATCTTCAAGGTCCACGCCAAGGCGTCAATGACGTCCCCGGTGTTGCCCTCGGCCTGTTTGGCCTCCCAAACCGCCTTGCGTCTGTCCTGCCTGGACATGTCAATGAAATCAAGAGATGCGGCAAAAAAGTCAAATGAAGAGATGTTGTCAAAACCAAAGAAATCATAGGGCCCCAGAGAAAACACGAGGTTTTTCAAAAAAAACACAAATTTCTTTTGTTGATATCTGGCACTAATGAGGTTCATGAACACCTGCTCTCCAGTGGGTATAGGGCATCATCTCAACTCCCATTCCCCGCCCCCCATCGCGGCTCCCCGGCGGATCAACGAGGTCGCCGGCTCATCCGTGGCGAACTGAAGCACCGATCCGGTCGGGCAACGGGCCCGTTGTGGGGGTCGGGTGAGCTGGTTTCCGGTCGTGGTCCAAAGAGGAGGGCTGGGTCGTAGGACCCAGACTGGCTCAGGGTCACCTCAGGTTGGGTATCTTGGGACCCTCAACACCGATGGCTTTTTGGACCGAAGAAACATGGAGCAGTTGCCTCTGGGTAAGGATTTTAGACTCCAAAAAACAGGTCAGTTGCCTCTAGGACTTCGGGGTTGGCGCCCCAAACACTCCACCCTAAAAACCTATGGAAGTCCAGTGCGAGCCTGTCTGGACTTCTTTTGCCGATGTAGCTAGCAGTGGTGCCGGTCGCGGTGGATCCCGAATCGCAAAGGGACTCGTGAAAAACCAACCAGATCATGGATTGAATCAGCTCTTAATGGGGTAGGGTTAAATCAATCAAGGAGCCTACATTAGGGACCACAGAACCATGCATTTCCATGATCCCTTCGATTCCTACCGAACACACATTTTCTTTTACCAAGGATCTTGGAAGGCAGAAATTGGGTCACACACCCCTCTTGGGTGGAGGGACCAGCCGGGCTCTTCGGAGCATCTGGGGTACCACATTCTTGCACATCCCCTAGAAGTCCAGGTTAACTACATTATTTAGCACCACCGAAGTAATGCAATTTCTGGACTCCGGTCACCTAACGACCATTTTTAAAGGGAATAGTATGTTCCTTTATGCCGACGGTCCCTTTTTATATGCTAGAGGCTGGAATTCTTTTCTAAATGCGGCCGTTCTTTCTATGCTGGCGGTTCTGATTTTAAGGTTGGGTGGTTCTTTTATTATGCGGACCGTTCTATTTTTCAATCCTCGCGGTCATTTTTTCCAGGAGATTCATTGTTTTTATGCGTGTGATTTTGTTTTTGCCACAGGCATCTCCGATGCTTGGGTTCTCGTTTAGTCGATGTAGTGGGGGGGCAGCGCGAGACGAGGCAAGCATTTTCGTGGATGGAAGATGGGTGTGGACGGGGCTGTGGATGGAAGATGGAGGGGCGCGATACGGGAGGGTGGACGGGGTGGACGGAAGGCACAAAGACCGGCTTTGTGTAGCCTGGTAACACAGTCGAGAGGATCAGGTCCTCAGCGAGCTTGCGAGAGCCAGGTGAGGCCCAGGAGGAGCTGAGCTCTCTCACCAGTGCCTCGCCGGCCGAACAGGCAATGCACCAGCTGTCGCCGGGTGCAGCCTCAGCCTGGCGATACTTGTAGCAGGGCATACGGACAGACAATGGCTGATCTTCCTGGCCCTTCCCATCTGGCATAAGCAGCAAATCATGCCCCATGCCACCAGTGTGCACAGCTCTGGCCATGGAATGCTCTTGGCCTCATCCTGCTCATACATGGGCCATTGCAGCATGAGCTCATTCCTCAAGCTTTGAAGTAGTCCGCAAATTCACTGCCTCCCCAAACCGCCCGGCACCTGTGCAGCACGCAAGACCACGTAATGTGGAACAGGAGGGCCGTGGGCAAGCATGAAGCTCTATGAATCCTTAGGACAAAATACGAGATCTTTGATCTTTCTGTTGCGAAGGCGGTGTTGATTCTCTCGCAAATTTCTGCATAAGTGTTCCAGGCCACCCTTGACACGACTATCTGGGAAAGCTGTTAGCCAAGCCTGTGCCGTTCCCCTCCGCCAGTCACAGTGCTCTTTTTTCAAAGCAAGTCGCCGAGAGAACCGAGGCAGTGCTCGGTCATCCCCAGACGAAAGGTGGATCTTCTCCATCTCTTGGTTTGTCTCCTATACAGAAAAACTTGGTCGGCAGAACTCGGGTGGATGGTAGTGACATTTCGGTGTAAACAGGGCTGCTGATCACATATAACGGGTTGAACAATGCAGCGTTCATGGAATCGCTCATGGGTTCACCACGTCGGAAGACAACTGGTGGAGTCCCGAATTGCCGCGATCCTGAATGGTCCACAAAGTACTGGCCGAAATATATGGTTCTCAGCAGTGAAGTGAGCTGGCCGGCTGCGTTCTTGGACGCGTGGCAGGGTCCCTGGAGGCACCATACGCTGCCTCCGTGGTACTTCAGGATTTTCAAAGGCAGGCGTGGAAGAGCATGAGGAGGGAGGACTTCGTATGTAACGTCCTTGAAACATGGGGCCTGTGCATCCATGACCTCAAAATGGCTGAGCTTGTCGAAGTCGCCCATCATCGCCTCCCTAAACAGGATGTGCGAATTGTGTCGTGTACATCATCAGACTTCGATCCATAGCGGCAAAGCCAGTGGATCCACCATCGCAGAAGTCGGATGCGCTCCCGGCGTAAATGGCGTCTCTGGTCTTGGTCCCAACCTTCGCTCTCAGGCGCCAAAGGACGGGTGAAATCTACTTCTGCTACTTCTGGCGTCGACGACATCACAACGGCCACCACATGGGGAATGGCGAAATCCTTCATCAAAAAGAGCACCTTCTGCCGGCATAAAAATTGGAACCCTCCAGCATAAAGAATTTAGCTGTGAGCAATGGCAAGGAGAAACGGACGGAACAGGAAGGAAAAGGATTTCTCCTTCCGCCATTTCTGCCACCCGGGGAATGGCAAGGTCCGTCAGCATAAAAAGAACCGGTCTGCAAAAAAAACATCCTGCGCATAAAGAAAGACACCATCTGCATAAAAGAACTTGCCTAAAACAGCAAAAAACGAGCCATCTGCATTAGAACACACCCTCCAGCTTAGGCGCCCTGGTACGCACGTGTAATCCAAAACGCCCCCCTAGCAAAATCCAGGCCCCATCCAGATACCTGTATGCATTTACTAACCTCGGCTAAATGCATCTGTGTGGTCTGGAGGTCCACTTTGCGGAAATGCTTTCGTCTTTCGAACAAAAAATAACATGATGGGGTACTGCTGGATGCCGTTCTCTCACTCTTGAACATGCATTTGTGAATTGTTTGTGTCCAACCTATGGGGTGCTACTGGGGCTTGAAAATGCCTTTGGGACGTTTCTGTGTCCGATGGCTTTCTTCTGTTTATGCATGAGGAAGTTCCAAAAACGCATCTGAGCTCCAAAACGTGGGAACATACGGCACGAAACGTGAGCTTTAAAAAAGCCAGGTTCGAACACACTTAAAACGTATATAGTAATAATACAACTAGTAGGCAGCTATATAAGCCCTCCAGCATCAAAAAGCAGCCCTGAGTCACGAGACCATGAGCATTAAAAACAACACCGGAAACATCAAGAAAAGGAACAACATAAGAAAACAGATGAATAATGGCGAAAGGACCGAAAGAAAGGAGAAGAGGAAGGAAGATCTCCCTCCGCCACCACTGCGACTACCGGGGGGGGGGGCGAACCCCTCAACATATAAAAGAAAAGAGAAAAACGGGCATAAAAGAAGCACCCGCTGCGTACAAAAAAAACAAGAACCCTTGCTCCGAAACCATGCCTGCCATAAAATAAACACCCAACCCTTCTTAAAAATGAACTTCCAGGGCATCAACCTCTATCACGAGGGCATCAACTGATGACCATCCGAGGTCCGGGCATGGACACGTAAGCTTCGCTGTCGACTTTTGCCGGATTGGGATGCCCCCGGTCGGTCATACACTTTGCGCTTGAATGCTTCTAGTACTTTAACCCATCCCCAGATACAAGACAGGATCCAATTGATCACCGGACTGGTCACTCATCACTATTCCTTCCTTTCTCATTCAGATTCCAAACCAGCAACTGCACGCTACTTTCGGAGCTTCCGACCCATCCAACCCCGTCCGCGCCGCCACGCCACGCGCCCGAACCCATGGTGTCCCGACCGCCACGCGCAGCCAGACCTGGCGTGGGGCGGAGGTCCAGTCGGTGGCCGGCAGAATCCGGTGCAAAGGTTGAAGAACCCGACTGCTTCGACTTCCAGTGGGGTATCCTAGGAGTGTTCTGTATTTCAGGTCACTTCACCTCTCTTGGTTCTTTATAAGGTGTTCTGCATGAAATGGGGTACATCGAGTGTCTGCCAGACAGCTGGTCACTGGTGGCCCTCTGCCAGACAAATGAATCAATCATCGACCGGAACAGGCCTCGATTCCTACCTGGATCCAGCTGTTTTTTCACCCAAGAACCAGCTGTTTTACTAAAGATTCTGCACTACAACTGTCATTGATTTAATGGTCTTTGACCAAAAAACATCGAACAACCATTCATTTTACTGAGATTTTGCCCTACAAAAGCAGGTCAACCGAACTCATTTAATGGTTTAGCGGAAGTCCCTTGCCAGCGTTTGTATGGGACGTTCTAAGAACAGAGACACAAAAGAGGCGAAGACCAAAGAAGAATCAATTATACCATGTAGATGTGCAAGATTGATCAAGATTGAAATTGGTTATAACATGTTAGGACTCATGACCCTATAACGAACCATGGACCTATAGAATATTTACCATCATTGGTCCATATAATTCCAAATACCCCAGGATGGTCTGGGTCATGACGTACCAGCACCTCCCTGACGAAAAGATCTTCAAGTGCTTTAGGGATTGGCGGGGTCCGATTCCAAGGCTTGACGCCACCGATCGAAGGAGATGGCGCCACCCCGACCAACGTGGTTCCTATGACCGACCTGGTGCCGAGATGGCCGACATGACGGGTGCGTGCGGGCCCATGGTGAATGAGAAGACGTGGCAGTGAGGGTACTGACCCCCCAAAAAGGGCTCCTGTCCCATATCAGAAGGTGGTTAGACCATGTTAGACCCCCTTGACACCCACCCCTGGCCCAACTTCGAAACGGAGCTAGTTGGAGTCCTAGGGTATTGCCCAGACGCTCCAAACCACCTGACTGGCCCCTCAAAATCACATTTTCAGTTCGACCATCCAACAAATGCCAGACCTGATTTCCTGTTGTCTACAAATCCTTACAGCAAAAGGAGCTGGAGGAGAAGGATCTTTCTCTTTTACTTCCACCCTTATATGAAGATCTTATCGTGTATAAACCAGCTAATCAGACCTGATTTCTACAAATCCTTATAGTAAAAACATGTAAAAACACATTAAACACCAGTCTGGTCCTTTGGCACTTCCCTTCCAACCAGCTGACAGCTCTCCCAGGTGGTGCCACCCCACCGACCCCAACCCCAACACCCGCCCCAGCGCCCCCCCCCAGCGCCCCACGTGCTCGAGCTCGGTGAGCGGCTCGCTGGCCAGGCCGTGGCGCTCGGGCACCGGAGAGAAGGAGACCTGGACCGAGAGAAGGAGCTGTCGAGCCACCCAGTAGTGCTATGCAATGACTCCTGTCGACATATACCAGAGAGAAGGCGCCCAGGACCCGACCAACCCGAGAATGATCTGAAGACCATGGGACCACTCCAAATCACTCCAAATCACTGGGTGGTTCGTAGACCCATCAGACGACCCATGTCCCAAAGACGACTGAATAGTGGGCTGCCATATCAGGGGGAGCGGTGGTTGATTTGGGGGTCCATGTAGATGGACATCTATTCCACTGCCAGGACACCAATTCACTGCCAGGTCACCTGTCTGGTTCAGACCTGAGATATAGGACACCAAAACTAACAACCCTCGAACAAAGAAGACCCGTTGGAGGGTGCTGGTAGATGTGTCATGTGTCTAGTAGGGTGCTTGGTATCATATTACATGCACATTCATTATGTAGCACATCTCATCTAGACCCTGAGTAAAAGCGATTTTAGACCACGCATCCACAATCCACAAAATGAGTCCTAATTAGTGCTTTCCATTCCTTTCGTATCAACATGCATTGTGACATTCCTTTCGCTCCAACGCTTAGCCTCGAGGCTTTCGACACCAGGATCTGAGACGTCCAAATGATTCCTTTCGACCCGCACAGTAGTCGTGGTGGATGTGTCACTTCTCAAGTGTGGTTTCCACGGACCTTCGGCCCCGGACGTTCGGCTCGGCCTCCACGGCGAAGATGGCAGGGAAACGTTTCCGCTCGGCAGCGGAAAGCTGGAAGTCGGCGCCTGAGTCAGAGAGAGATGCGGATCAGCTGATTCCATTCCCAGTGAAGTCCGGTTTTTACAGATCTCCTTCGCAAGGTGGCCCCAAAAACAAGGATCAACAGAAGTTTCGGAACAACATCCAAACTTCAATATAGTCTCCAAATAGAGATCAATTCGGAAACAATGGGAAGGTGCCTCAGGAGGGCTTCTCATTTTGGGAACTGCTCTAGTGTTAAAAGATCTAACCCCTGCTTGGGAGTCCAAACATATTTTTGACAATTGATGTTTCAGTGACCCGAGTCCAGGAGGTTTTTGAAAACAACTCACTCCCAGAAACAGCCTGCTAGGGTCCAAAAACAGACAGTCGGTCGAAGGGTCCTGGTAGATGATCCGAGTCCATTTCCTGAACACTTCATCGGTAGCAAGGAAAAACGAACTGGACTTCTACCTGGACCTTCCTGATGGGGTGTTCCATTGGAGGTGGAGGAGGAGGCATTGGTGGCAGTGGCAATGGTCTCGAAGGTGCTCCAGGTACAGACTTGTACCAAAGTCCATTGCCCTTTACATTTTGTTGGCACTCTTTTGGAGCGTGTGTGAGTGTGAGTGAGAGTGAGAGTGAGAGAGTGAGAATGAGAGAGTGAGAGTGAAAGTGAGAGTGAGTATGAGAGTGAGTGAGAAGAGTGAGTGAGAGTGGGTGAGAGCGTCAGTGAGAGTGAATCAGTTAATGAGAATGATAGGAACATTACTGCACAGAACCGTCCTGGCGGCACACATGACGTACTTCACGCTGCAAGGTGCCTTACTTTGCCAGTGAGGCAGAAGTGGATGGACCACACCACTGCCTTGTACCCTGTCGCTAGGGGCTGGCCTTTCAAGTCATCGAACATGTTTCCCTTTTTCAAACGTTTCCCATCAGCATCAGGATGAAACCCTCTCACAAGCGCATTCAATGACCAGCAAATAAATGTGCTTCATGATTTCCCCCCATGTATCAGGAGCAGTGCAAACCTTGGGTACACAGGCCAGCAGAAACTTGGCTTCCAAAGGGCTTAATCTTTGGTCAATGAATTCAACCCGGGGAAGGGGAAGGGGAAGGGCAAGGGGAAAAGCACAACCCTTGACAAAGGGAAAGGCAAAGGGAAGGGCAAAGGGCACGGGCAAAATACCAAAAGAAAATGCTGCCAATTAGGAAGAAAATGACCGTGAGCAAGCTATGAGCACACTCAGGAAAACAAGGGGCTTGCTGGCCCACACCTCTTCCAACTATGAGGACACCTTGGGGAAGGTGAAGGTTATGGGGTATTTGGCAAAGCCAGCAATGCTTGCAAAGGAAACAGCCCTCAAGCACCTTGGGTCACGGCCAAACTGCCAACACTGAAGTCCTTGCTGGTGGAAGGTGTGAAAATTGTGAAGGAGGCTAAGGAAGAAGCCAAGGAGCTGGTGCAGATTTCAATGAGGACCACTTCCAAAGCTGCATCTTCAAAGAAATGAACTGCAACAAACCCTGGAGGAAGGGAGTTTTTTTGTACTTTTCATGTGCAGTTGTGCCTCTGAACGCAGCTGGGGCATGTTGCTAGTATAGCTCACTGAACACAGAAGCTTAGAGTGAAAAAACCGAGGCATTCCACTAAGGTTTCAGGGTGTTGGGCTGTTGAATTTTATTTGTCAAAAATGTGTTGGGCTGTTGAATTTTAGTTGTCAAAAATGTGTTTCGGGTGCATACATCCTGTGGATACATGTTCCCATGCCACCCCTCCCAGTTTGCTTGAAAGGGCTTAAAGTAGACTTTGGCAAAGGGGTTTTGATAATTGAGACAATGTGCAAAAGGCTCAGGGGGGTGGAAGTTGGATGAAGAAATAGAGCATGTGACGGGAAGGCAACCTTTGAGAAAAGGGAAAGCAATCTTTGCACAGCATTGCTCAGCCTCTGGGCACATGTCACAGGGATATTCTAACAAGGTGTGTGAAGGATGTTTCCATCCCTGATCCAATGCGTGTAGAAGTGACTATGATAGATCCAAAATCATTGAAGAAGGAAAAGAACAGGTTGCAAATTTCTGCCACACGTCATGTTCAGCAGATTTGCAGCCCTGCCCAGCTTTCATGAGCCGTTCCCACTTGAGAAAGTGGAAATGTTTTGGAACCTTGTTGAAAAAAGTGGTGATGAAAGGCTACAAGACCACCCTGCAAAGGCAGGGCTGGAAGAAGCGCACTGCACCATTGTGGCTCCATGGGGATGGTGTGGAGTACACCCCACCAGCAATCTGATGCCTTCCCCAATCTGTCGGCGTCGCCAGGGCCTTCGCAAACGGAGGGCTTCGCCCGCGGCCGCCGACAGTCGAACTTCATGGACGGGCACCCAAACGGTGCCGAGGCTCCACCGTTTCTGGAGTGTCAAAGCACAATTCAAACTTTTCAGGACCTGCCCAAATTCCGGGACCTTGAGTCGGAACTTGGGCTTCAGGTCCGTGGAACTCTTTGTTGACGTCCGCTTTAAACCCGCGTCCGCCAACAACCTTTTGGCCAAGCTGATGATGCTGATTGCCGAACTTTTTCGGGCAATCATTGCCAGCGTGGGCACACTCACTCAGCTTGATGCTTCCAAAAAAAGCGCCGGACTCCATAGGAGCCGGGCTAGTATAGGCGGCATACTGGGCCCTTTCGGCCGCCGCGCAGGCCAAGCCTCGAACTGGCAGGGTTGACACTTCCAGACTGTAGTCTTGGAAGCTTGTCACCGATTCGACGGGGACAGGGGCGCCCTGTACAAGAAGGTCCCGACTTCTTTGCACGCACCCTGGAACCGCGTTACATCCGTGCCGTCTGGCGTTTGCTCATAGCTTCCGAACCGTGGACTTCATCATCATCTTGCTGAAACTCTTGGGCAAGTTGCCAACTTTGCCTTTTCTTGCCCGTGGTTGTCTTTGCACAATCCTGGGTATCCATGTATTCATAGACTCCACAAGAGCTTGTCTCTTTCCACACCACTCTTCCTGAGTCGGTGTGTTTTTCAAGTCCTCTTCCTCCCATTTTTTCAAGGGCTTCCTTCTCACTCAGCCATTTCTCCTTTTTCAGTAAAGAACTCTCCAGACTTGCTTCTTTTGCCACTGTGCAAAACTTGGGGGCATCGGTTCTCATCAACCACAATGCAGTCAGGAACCCTTTTCCTTTTTGTTTGCATCGGTGAACAAGGCCTCCTCCTGACCAGCCTTCTTCAGCTGCTTGTTGTGTCTGTTCCAGGCCCTGGATTTTTCTGGGGTCATGGCATCCTCGAGCACCATTGCAGCTTCAACTTCATCATCCTTGTCCTCTGAAAGCTTTTTGATTTTCTCTTGTAAGGACATTGTGCCCAGCTTGTTCAACTGTCCCTTCTTCAAGGGGTTGTTTGTCTTTGCCTTGAACGCAGCTGGGGCATGTTGCTAGTATAGCTCACTGAACACAGAAGCTTAGAGTGAAACAAACAGAGGCATTCCACTAGGGTTTCAGGGTGTTGGGCTGTTGAATTTTATTTGTCAAAAATGTGTTGGGCTGTTGAATTTTAGTTGTCAAAAATGTGTTTCGGGTGCATACATCCTGTGCATACATGTTCCCATGTCACCCCTCCCAGTTTGTTTGAAAGGGCTTCCACCCTTCACAGCTTGGGCTCAAAACCCATAGCAATGTTTCCAGCCTTTGAGAAAGGGTCTTACCATGCGAAATGGAATTGTAAAGTAGCCTTTGGCAAAGGGTTTTGATAATTGAGACAATGTGCAAAAGGAGTGGAAGTTGGATGAAGAAATAGAGCATGTGACGGGGAGGCAACCTTTGAGAAAAGGGAAAGCAATCTTTGCACAGCATTGCTCAGCCTCTGGGCACATGGGCATTTGAGTGCTGTGGCTGTGAGAAAATTAGCAGAGGCTGCTGTTTTGGATGGGGAACACAACATGCAGAATGAGCCGACCTAGCCAAGGTAGGCCATTATGGCGAAGTTCCTGCCAATTGTCACAGGGATATTCTAACAAGGTGTGTGAAGGATGTTTCCATCCCTGATCCAATGCGTGTAGAAGTGACTATGATAGATCCAAAATCATTGAAGAAGGAAAAGAACAGGTTGCAAATTTCTGCCACACGTCATGTTCAGCAGATTTGCAGCCCTGCCCAGCTTTCATGGGCCGTTCCCACTTGAGAAAGTGGAAATGTTTTGGAACCTTGTTGAAAAAAGTGGTGATGAAAGGCTACAAGACCACCCCTGCAAAGGCAGGGGCTGGAAGAAGCGCACTGCACTATTGTGGCTCCATGCGGATGGTGTGGAGTACACCCCACCAGCAATCTGATGTGCTGGAGGTGGGGCCGAATGATGAATGCCTTCACCAATCTGTCGGCGTCGCCAGGGCCTTCGCAAACGGAGGGCTTCGCCCGCGGCCGCCGACAGTCGAACTTCATGGACGGGCACCCAAACGGTGCCGAGGCTCCACCGTTTCTGGAGTGTCAAAGCACAATTCAATCTTTTCAGGACCTGCCCAAATTCCGGGACCTTGAGTCGGAACTTGGGCTTCAGGTCCGTGGAACTCTTTGTTGACGTCCGCTTTAAACCCGCGTCCGCCAACAACCTTTTGGCCAAGCTGATGATGCTGATTGCCGAACTTTTTCGGGCAATCATTGCCAGCGTGGGCACACTCACTCAGCTTGATGCTCCATAAAAAAGCGCCGGACTCCATAGGAGCCGGGCTAGTATAGGTGGCATACTGGGCCCTTTCGGCCGCCGCGCAGGCCAAGCCTCGAACTGGCAGGGTTGACACTTCCAGACTGTAGTCTTGGAAGCTTGTCACCGATTCGACGGGGACAGGGGCGCCCTGTACAAGAAGGTCCCGACTTCTTTGCACGCACCCTGGAACCGCGTTACATCCGTGCCGTCTGGCGTTTGCTCATAGCTTCCGAATTGTGGACTTCATCATCATCTTGCTGAAACTCTTGGGCAAGTTGCCAACTTTGCCTTTTCTTGCCAGTGGTTGTCTTTGCCCAATCCTGGGTATCCATGTATTCATAGACTCCCCAAGAGCTTGTCTCTTTCCACACCACTCTTCCTGAGTCGGTGTGTTTTTTCAAGTCCTCTTCCTCCCATTTTTCAAGGGCTTCCTTCTCACTCAGCCACTTCTCCTTTTTCAGTAAAGAACTCTCCAGGCTTGCTTCTTTTGCCGCTGTGCAAAACTTGGGGGCATCGGTTCTCATCAACCACAATGCAGTCAGGAACCCTTTTCCTTGTTGTTTGCATCGGTGAACAAGGCCTCCTCCTGACCAGCCTTCTTCAGCTGCTTGTTGTGTCTGTTCCAGGCCCTTGATTTTTCTGGGGTCATGGCATCCTCGAGCACCATTGCAGCTTCAACTTCATCATCTTTGTCCTCTGAAAGCTTTTTGATTTTCTCTTGCAAGGACATTGTGCCCAGCTTGTTCAACTGTCCCTTCTTCAAGGGGTTGTTTGTCTTTGCCTTGGGGCCTGCCTTTGATTTTGCTTTCATTGTCTTTTTGACAACGGTTGCAGTAAGCTTCATAGCTTTCATAGGGTTCATCGCTTTTATTTCCCCTTCTCACAAGGGCTAATGCCTGAAGTGTGTTGGTTACCACACCAAACTCTTGAGCCACAATGACAGCATAGGGTATGTTAAAGTCACGGTACAATACGAGCAAGGGCAAGGTCAACTCACAATCCAAGGGCCCGTCACACATTGTCTCATAAGTGTCATGACTCATGACGCCATCAAAGCCCAAAAACAGTACTTAGTAACTCAGTACATGCTTACATGCCAGGCTGCCAGAAAAGAATCACTCCTTTTTCTAATCTCCATCACCCGGTGCCCTAGTGGTAGCGGAAGTTCTTTTTCAGCCACTCCCACTTCTCCCTTACATGGCATATGGCGACCCCAATTGGGTTCTGCCAATGCTTACTCACCGTGCTTTGCAAAGCGAAGTCTCGAGTGAAAATCTGGCCCATCTCACCATGTTGGTGAAGACTCAGCAAAGCGCTCCACGCCATGTCATTCAATGGCGGCTGCAACCTCCGCAACAAGGTCACCACTGAAAAAACTGATCAGGGTGATGAAAGGTGATGAAAAATGTTGAAAACACTAGTTTCATCACCTTTCATCGCCCTTCATCGCCTTTCATCACCCTTCATCACTTTTCATCACCCTTCATTACACCATATATTTATTATTATCATTATATACATATGAATACGGGTTTCCAATTAGACACCGTCACTTGGAAACCAAATCATACTTCAAAAAACCTTTTTTGTGCACGCTTCCACCAGCAGGCTTCCCTAAAACAAGTCATTTGAGATATTTTATTGGACATGACTTCCAATATTGTCCAATGAAATGGGCAGCAACCAAAGAAGCAAATACAAAAATTCTTTGTTAGCAGGTCTACTTGATTCTGTTCCCTTTCCCAAGGTTATCTCCACAAACCATGCCACCCATCCTCAATGATACCAGCTGCACTTTTGCTTGCCTGTGTCTAAGCTGTGCTGGTCTCTTCACCTGGCTGCTCCCCATCTGAAACACAAAAATTGTTTACAGATTTTTGCAGTGTATTGGGTATGCTGGTGGCAAACCTTAAATGTTGAACACAAAAAGGGGGGAGTAGCCATGAGTGCAAAACATGCAAGTGAAACAACCCCTTTCTCAAAGGATTGAGTCTTGTTTGTTTTCCCTTTCTCTCTCAAGGATTGAACCTTGTTGGTTGCCCTTTCTCAAGGGTGACCCTGTTGGTTTCCCTTTCTCAAGGGTAGCTTTCCTTTACATGTGCTGGTGTTTGGCCAGAAAGGCATCCACAGCATCAGCAAAAGTTTTCCAAGGGCCATCTTCGCTTGTGGTTGTGCTTGTGGCTGTGTGTTTGTGATTGTGTCTGCGGTTGTGTTTGTGGTTATGTGCTGGTTGAGGTCTGGCGGGGAACACTGCCAGCCGAAGCTCGCGGTTGATTCCCGACGGGGAACACTGCCAAGCGGAACTCGCGGTTGAGGTCCGGGTGGCCCACTTCATCTTGCTCCTAGAAGTCCAGGTTTTGAAATTTGGCTGAGGCATACCAGGGATCCATTTGAAGCATCTCAATCATAGCTTGCCCAAGTTGCAACTGTTGGTTCATCAAACTGGCCCACAGAGGACAACAGGTGAAGGTCTGTTGCTGCCCACCATCTGGTTGAACAGGTTGAAAACTACCACTCTGAATTCCACTCAAACCATCTCCAGGTTGTCCTACCGCTACACCCGCAAAAGGTTGGTTCAAAGAACTCTGCACTGCTGCTGACTGTGTTGTGGTAGGTGCGGGGAGAACAGTTCTAGTTCCAGTTCCACATCCATTTCCAGATCCACTTCCAAAGTGGTGCAAGCTGTCTCAAAAAGGCAAGAGCTCTAAGTTCCAATTCCAAATCCAACATGGCGGGGCAGTTCCAGTTCCAGATCCAATTCCAATGGTCATGTCAACTTCTGCCATAAACTTATTTTCTTTTGGTTGGGGGGGGATCCAGTTCCAGATCCAGTTCTAGTTCCAGATCCAATTCCAGTTCTCATTTCAATTACTGTGAGGAAATTAGTTTTTGGGGGGGGGCGGGGGTGGGAGAAGAAATCAGTTCCAGTTCCAGATCCGTGGTCATGTCAACTCCTGCGATGAAATAAATTTCTTCCAGCTCCAGATCAAGTTCCAGATCCAATTCCTGTGAAAAACACTATCAGTTCAGACCTTGAAAGCCCATGGCCTATAGGCAAGAGAGACAAATGTCCAATGCGTGACCTCAGGAGAGAAGAGTTGGGCACACAAACACCTTCAGGAGACAGGTGCATCTCAAGTGACCATTGAAGCCTGGTGTCCTCACACAGAACAGTGATGCTGCTGCCCCCCCTGTTGCTTTCCGACTCATTCGGCTCCCGGACCCCAAGCACCGTAGTGCAACATCTCCAAGTCGGTGTCACCCCGCAGCACCTCCGAGTCACGAAGAGGGTCGTGTTGGGTCAAGCTGGGGATCTGCATACGCTAGGTACGGTGAGGACGGAAACTCTTTGATGTAGGTGCCAGGAGGGTCCAATCACCGTACCTGAGAGGGGTATGTAGATCCTTACAGATAGGGTCACCAAGCAGATCATAGCTGTGTAGACCCACGGCAAGGACCCCCTGGGAAGACGGGACCTCGGGGAACAACAGATCCGTCCAAACGCAGCGGACGGGGCGAGCGGATGGCTCCTATTCAAAATACACCACCGGTTCGATCATGTTGTCCACGGTGTGCCGCACCCGGGTGAAGCTGTTGGAAGGCATGATTCCATGCATTGGAGTGGTTGAACAAGGGGTCCAACTATCGGGCTTCATCCCCGATGTCCAGCTTCACACCCCGTCTTCAGATGTGATGAAAACACTACAGTAATTAGGGGTGAAGTCTATTTCCTTACATTCCATAGTGATTGCTTTTCATTCAGGGCTTGGTGTAATTAGGGGTGGTTGAAAAAAGGGGCAACAAGCAGCTTTCGTCCCATGGATCGTCGGACTCCCGACCGTTCAGCTCCTGTGGGTCACTTCTACGGATTTGAGAAGTCATCCACGCGCGCGCCGTCTGGGGACTGGGTCTTTCTAACTTGGCTGCTTTGGTACCAGCACCTGACTCTACAGGTCTACAGAACGTTTAGCCAAACTCTTTGCATGGATTTTCATCGAAGGGACTTCCTTTACAATCTTCAAACATGAAAAGGACGAAGACCCAACATCTCACAGATCCAGACCTTGAAGTAGCCACCCTGCTGCCACTGCATTCCGAAGGAGTTCAGCAAAAGCCAGTAGTCTCGACCTCGTAAAGAACGCGGAACGCGAGCGAGGGTCGCGAGCGTGCGTCACGAGTATCGCGAGGCGTGTTTTGGAGCACATGGGCACCTCGAGGATGATGAAAGAATCCAACTGTTCAAGTGCGATGAAGACATCGACCAAAAAAGTTACTGCCAGCACCACCACGGAACTGGGTGGTTTATAGACCCTTTGGACAATTTTCCATCCAATAATCACCTGAAAAAGGAGGCGCTGGGTATGACTTTCTAGTTGCTCTGACCTTTTCAATTATTTCCAATACCATCCTTGGGTGGGCCTGAAGAAAGTGCGACTTTCCTTTATACTTAACTTACCTTGTGAACTGAAGAAGGTCGACCTGGGTCAATCTGCAAAGCCGAGTCCGACGTTGACCTGCACTTTCCGACGATTCCTTTTTGAACAACACCTTAACTACCTGGACCATCCTGTCGGGACCATCCAATGGACAAACCTACACTACTTACAAGTCTCCATTGGGTACCCATCCCAGACACTCCATGTGAGTGTAGGTCAATATGCCAGTCCCATGGAAGTATATATAGTGTAGGAAGTCACTATACCCACGGTCCATTGGAGAGTCCAGGAAGTCACCGTTTGTTTTTTCTCCTCCGTCGTCTGGCGATCTCATCCCCAGACGCTCCATTCTTAACCTCATATATGAACGTGACCGGCATGAGACGTAGCGTCCGTTTTCACGGACTGGACTGGACCAATTCATGGTGGCTGTGGCGTCCCAAACCCAAAGCCCTATAGGGCTCCGATAGGCTGACCATGTCTCGTAGTCTACTCATGTTTGGTTGTCCAAACCGGTTGGTGTCGACCTAGTTCCATGGTCGTTGGCGTCGACCACCCATCGAACGAGCAAGCTTGGTGGGTAAAACCCTCAACATGATTCGATGGGATCTGCCACCCCGGGTGGGTGGGTGGCTGGTATAGTCCTCTTCTTGACTTAAGAAGGTCCATGCGCTTTTCTTTGTGGCCCTTGAGGATTGGACTCCATCTCAAGGACATGTTAAAGTGTTGAAATTCCACTTCAAAGCACATCTAAGAGCACTAAGAACCTTGCGATGGACATTCTCAACCTAAAAAAACATCTTATATCCCAAACACTGAGATTCCGGTTGCATGACCTACAGTAAAAAACCAAAAAGGAAAAGAACATTGAAAGTCGGGGAACCCGCAAGATGAAGAAGAAACAAACTTCGCTGCCAACGAAGAATGGAAATCATGTGCGACAAACGCGACACCATTCCCAGAGACTCCATGTATATAAGGAATATTTACATTGGGGTGGCTTCAGCGGTGAATGAATATTTAAATATGCCATACATGGAGTGTTTGGGATGGATACCAGATCTTCCAACGTCAACTGTGGAACACAAACAAGCCGAGCTTCGTGTATACAAACTAAGGCAAGGTTCGGCGTTACAACTGTTGCCAGTTTGGTGGTTAACTATGCCAAAGTTTACTTGGAAGATCCAGGTACCGAAGATCGTCCCGTCCGGCGAGGACCACTCATTCCGGGATGGACCCGATGACACCGTTCAGAGGTGATTTTTCGAGTTCAGAGTCGATGACACCATCCCAGGTGTTATTTTTTCTTGAACACGTGGCATGCTGAATTGAAACTCCTGAACTCTGGTCAGTGGGTCGTCAAACCATGTTTTTAAAGAACTCATGGACTGGACTCCCAGCATCTCCCAGCGTTGATATCGACCCAGCGGGTCATGATGATCTAAAAATATCTAAAAGAGTCGGCACATGTACAGAACCAGCAAAAAGAATGAACCCAAGGGCTCTGCAGGCGCCCGGAAGTATCGCGTGTTCAACGTCCCTTCTGCTCTCCAAACAAATCCACCAGGTGTTCGCCGCTCCACCACCCCCTCTCGCCCCGGCTGCTCTCGCCCCTCCATTTCCTGAGGTTCTCCGGCTGTTCGAGTCACTGCCCCAGCCGACCAAGGCAGCCCCGTGCCTGTGATGGAGAAATCTGGTTCCACCCGAATCATTTCTTGAGGATGATGTGGAACCGACACCCATTATGATAATATTATATGAGTAGATATATACCTTGCAACCGAACTGGGTGGCCTGCTTTCTTTGGTGGACCGATAGCTTTTTGTTGGGTATCAAAAAAGGTTAGAGAAACATATGCTGACCCAAATATACCAGGACACCCTAAGGGGTGTCTATTGATAGCCCCTTAGAGGTTACGGTGTCCATTAACCACCCCTTGTGGGTCCTAGTATAAGGCTGTGACTCCAACAAATAGCTTTCACACAAAAAACACACTGCGAAGTGCCAGGTTTAGGCTGCTGCGGAGGGTCAAGTCATACCCTCGTTTCGAAGGTGGCAGTGGATTTCGCAGGGAATCTGCAGTGTTGTTTCGTATTTGGGGATGCCTTGGTCCACCAGGTAGCGAAAGACCTTCCAGGTAGGGCAACCAAGCAAGGTATCCTGGTATTGACTCCTTCATACCCGATATTACCACTTGCGCTTGACGACTCACGTGAAACGTGAGTCGAGCGTGTTGCCCTACCACAGATAGGAACAACTAAGAAAGAGCCCCAGTGAGACATGCACAAAAGATCAGACATCATCTGTATCAATTCGCCACGAGTCCAGCGTACGTCCAGCACCGATTCTGAACAGCTTTGCAATGGTCAATCAAGCTTCGTCCGGGTGCCATGGAATGGCGCCCATGACACATCCTTGTGGAAGCACCCTGCCACATGACCGCGGGTGAGTTGAATGAAAGGTGCCTGGAAACGCAGAACAACACTCGTTCTTCCACAATGCTTGCGTGCAATCTCGGATCTTTTTGTAAAGGTCATAGTAGGTTGTCTGCTGACGATCCTGCTGAAGTCTGTGGCCAGCAACATGAAAGCACACCGCAATTTCACAAAAAAACTGTAAGCGTCATCAACAATCCATGTCAAGAAAGCTCAGAACGCGCAGATACATCGTCAGTCCCTTTCGTGCTCACGCCCTTTACATGGTGGTTGGATATTCGTGGGGATCTTCGGTCGCCATTTAAAAAGGGATTTGGGCAATCCCCACAACCAATCAGGAAAACGGGCTTTTGCGCCTGTTGATTGTGAGCTCTTCGGTTTCCGGCTGAATCGGTAGCGGCTCTTCTGTTTCAGGTCTCGTTGGAAGTAGACTGTGTAGACGAACAAGCCAGCGGTGATGTGCGTCAATAGCCACCTCCGCTTCTTGTTGGATTTCCCACAGGGGCAAGGCGTTGGCGCAATTCTCTTGCACCAATGTCCGCACGTCTATTGTTCTTGATGTGTATGCAGCTTGTATGATGGAGCGCAGCAAGTTCTTCTGTCAGCAAGTGCTCTGGGATATGTTCAAGTTTGTGCGCATGTACCCAATGCACTTGAAAAGGATTGGGAGAAAGAAGTTGTCTTTATTGAAACAAGGCAAGCCCAAATTCCCACCAATCCCGACAAAGCCAATTGGGCCCGACTGATTGTGTACTGAACAACTCATTCGCCTGCTGAACTACTGTCAGGTTGTCTGAGAACACCTGAAGAGGTTGCTTGGATAGTGAACAGGCGATGATAATTGCCCAAAGCTCAGCCGTATACAAGGTGAGATTCCAGTGATTGACTTGACCTCGTGTGAGGATTGAACCACACTCCAAGATCACCGCAAACGTAGCGGTCGTTAACCAAAATTTGTCATTGCGCAGGACCGACCCATCGGTCCACATCCTCACACTAGCACCGTCACTGAAGGTGTCGGAAATTGTGATATCTTCAGGTGTCAAAACAAGAGGCGCTTGCGGGCAACAAACGAAGCATGGCATGTGGCCCATCATCGCAGAATTCGGTCCAAACTCATGGGCAATGGGTTTGCCAATGATTTCATGTAAAGCATCACACGCCATGAGATGTGGCATAGATTCCTTGGTAGCGGAGCAAAACCGACAGGATGGGTCTTCGTTCCAGCCTGACCCAGCCAACCGGTCGTTTGTCAAGACACACCCTAAGCACAGACTCGAAACGAGAAATGTCTGAAACAGCAGGAATATCATTTTTGGAAGCACGCTTCAGGAACCGAGTAGTTTGCTGCACATCAAAAACACCACTGGGTCGATTGAAGTCCTTTTGGGTCGAGCCTGATGCAGCAGCATCGCAAGCATTTCGATTAATACGCTGCAGGCCTTTTTTGATATCTTTTGGACGCACTATGGATAGATCGAGGGTCTGGACTCGCAAAAGGAAATCCGGAGCTCGTCATCGATTCGGATACTCAGTACATCAGCTGCTTCACGAATTGAGCATGCGAGTGTGTGCTTAAGAGTACTGCCCTGTGAAAGGGTACGCTTGATTTTGGGAATGTGTGGCACAATCTCACAATCGTATTGAAGGCACCGCAAAAAGACGGGGCAGTTCTGTGTGGGTTGGAGAGCACACCTTGAACTAACCACTTTGACCGCCATTGGGGTCGCCCAACCCATAAAGCTCGCACGATGGCATTCTGGATCAAGGCAATGTCCTTCTTGGGGATCTTTGAGATATGGGACCCGAAAGCAAGCTGTGGGATAATTTTAGCACCGATCAAATGGACTCTAGTGGAATGGGGCACTGGGAGTGCAGCAATGTTCTCAACGTCTCAAAGGATTTTCTTGAGAGTTTTGGTGGAAAATTCCAAATTGTCACGTTCTGAACTGTACATTCTAGTTCGCGGGACCTCAATTTCGAGTTCAACCGGAAATGGAAAGTCTTCCTCAGCGCCGATCTCGCAGCTGAAGTTGTGCCCCACATTGAAGATTTGTGTTCGTTCAATTTTTGGCCTGGGAGCAAATCCCAAACTTTGGTAACCTCAAGGGCTTTGTGGATTGTGGCTATATAGATAAGCCTGCGCCAGAGATACGCATCATCCACGAATGAACGTGCAGTGATGTCCGGGAGATGTTCTAGGAAATGGAGCCCAACTTTGTTATAAACGTTCATGGCCAGCAACGAAAGGGATCACCCTTGAGCGACGCCATTTGCCGGGCGTGTGGCTTGAGGTGAGCACCAGCTGCGGTACGCTAAGTGCCTCCCAGAGAGGGTCGGTCACCCAAAATATTTTGGGATGAAGTCGATATGAACGTGGCCCCAAAAGGAGGTGAGCGTCCCACTGTCATGTGAGTATCGGTATGGCCACCGACCGCACGCGGCCCACCGGCGCAGAAGCAGGCGGCCAGCATCTTTTTCCGCATTGGTATTGACAATCTGAGCAAAGACAACGGTTGGCGTCCACGACTGTAGTTAAGGAATGTTTACCGTCAGAGAAAGGAGTCTCACGCTGTGCAATATCACGCAGCCACCCCGGTAGAGAATCGGTTTGATGACGCCGAACTCCGATGTATACGGCCAGAAAAATGGGCATAATTTCACCAATGCGGTTGTCAACTGACGACCCAACAAGATGCCTGTAAGAAAAGTACCTCACTCACCGCATGGCATAGTTTACGCAACTCGCCGTCCTCCTATTGAAAAAATTACTTTACTTCGAGTGATCCCCGCCATGACACTTCAAAACGGCCACATTGACATCAACCTTGTTGTGCATGTCACAACCCAAGTGTAGTCTCAGCTTTGTAGACAAATGCACCCTACCGCACTCACTCTGCCATATCATCGAACTGATTGCTCCCGCACTATGGTGAGTTTGCTGGTTCGCGATTTTGCTTCGGTCCTCCGGTTGTGCGTTGTCGTTGCGTGCTGTGTCTATGGTTGTGTGTTTGTAGTTATGTGTTGTCGTGGTGTGTTGTGGTTATGTTTATGATTGTGTTTGTTGTTGTGTTTGTGATTGTGTGTTTGTGGTTGTGTGTTTCTAGTTGTGTTTGCAACTGTGTTGTGATTGCGTGTTTGTTGTTCTGCTTGTGGTTGTGTGTTTGTGGTTGTGTCTGTCGTTATGTGTTTGTGATTGTCTCTTTGTAGTTGTGTTTGTGGTTGTGTGTTTTGTTGTTCTGTTTGTGGTTGTGTTTGTCCTAATGTGTTTGGAATTGTCTCTTTGTAGTTGTGTTTGTGGTTATATGTTTGTGATTGTGTGTTTGTTTTTCTGTTTGTAATTGTGACAGTGTTGAGGTGTGGCAGGGAACACAGGGCGTGGCTGGTCGTGGTTGAGGTCCGGCAGGGAACACTGGGCATGGCTGGTCGTGGTTGAGGTCCGGCAGGGAACACTGGGCGTGGCTGGTCGTGGTTGAGGTCCGGCAGGGAACACTGAGCATGGATGGTCGTGGTTGAGGTCCGGCAGGGAACACTGGGCGTGGCTGGTCGTGGTTGAGGTCCGACAGGGAACACTGGGCGTGGATGGTCCTGGTTGAGATCCGGCGGAGGAGGACGAGGAGGAGAAGGAGAAGGAGAAGGAGAAGGAGAAGGAGGAGAAGAAGGAGAAGGAGGAGGAGATAACAACCCTCACCTGACAGGCCTTCCGGGTCTCCAGATACTGGGCAGCAAACCCTGCTTCACGATGCACTCTATTCCCAGTCGTGCCATTGAGCTTGTCTAAGCCATTGCTCAAATAATTTGTGCATGCCTTTCTCTTCGGCGGCATGGCTTCCGTCGCGATATAAATCCAATTATAGCTATAAAAATTCAGGGGAATAGACGCGTAGAAGTTTCAAAATTCTCCAACATGTCCCCATTTTAAAGTGCTTGCTATCTCTGGGAGAACGAACTTACATGAACAGCCCTCAAAAACTCCAATAACATATTTTTTAATTCGAGACTTTCTCTAAGATACCTTGAAGCACGATAAACCCGGCATGGCGTAATCTTCTTGAGCGTCAACAGGCGACAATCTGCAGCATACATATCCGCCAAACATGTGCGAAAAATAACCGCTTCCCATGTGTTCATACCAAAAAACCTTGCATCACGTATATAAGTCTTGCGACGGATTTTTGGAATGCACCATGCCAGCACAAGTTCGAACAATTCCATCAGGCTTTGGCCACAGCTCACAATAACAATAAGAATCTCGAGCACGAAAGGCACGCGCAAACACCACGTGAAGTCAAGCGGTTTGGAAACAAATGTATTCGCACTCGTTGGATCTCATTAGGATTGTGATGGATTTTGGTAAGCAGGTCACTTCACAATAGCTGTTTGAGCTACACTCTACGCAACAATTTTTCCGGAAAAAAACGTCCCACCCTACTTACAGCCTCAATTTTTGGGTTCCGACTCCGACATCTACAAGTCTGAAGATGCCGTCTTAAGCAATGGCTCTTGCTCATAATAGGGATACCAAGGGAGAAGAAAAAACGACAGACAGAAACAGTGATAGGAATTCGAGACGCAACATGCCGCCGCTCGTCGTTTTTCGCATTTATTGACCGCCCTGCCCCCCCCCAGATATGCACAATACACACAAATATGGAAACAACCACATTTTATATGGTTGTGCATGGGAAAATGAGTAGTTAGGAAAAAGTTCGAAAGGCCAGCTATTCAACAAGTAAGACTAGCAAAGAATGTGTGACCAGGCAGGATACATCGTCGCCTGGTCAACGAAGCTGGCGAGGTATCCGAGGATATGGAAATGGTTAACGAAGCTAGTTTCTACCCTATTTGAAGCGATTCCTTTGGTCTCGCTTCCGGATGGAAATTACCCCATTATGCATGGCCGTAATTCGGGACCGCTAAGTATTCACTAACTAAGTCCGGGACTTCATCAACTGATACGGCTGTTGCGATCATTGATCTAAGTGTGTGTCTAAAGAGAACACCATATCTAGAGTGTGCGCGCATGTGTGTGTGCACAAGGATGCTGTGCCCCACTGTCACGTGAGAAAACGCTTGAACAGCTGAACCTAGTCAGCTGGACCTCGTGGCATTCGTGCTTCCTGGGGAACCGTCCGCAGCAACTGCCCACTCGCTTCGTCGATACCCTCTCTCCTGTTGCCAAATGGAAAGAGTGTGCTTGGAGATGCTTCGAGTCATTTGCATTCATTTGCGCACCGACCTGGGAATTGTTTGCACAGTTCAAGAAACAGTTTCTGCATCTTCATCCTACCGCACCTGCACCAGTTCCGCCACAGCTCCAGGTCTTTCACTGCGTATCAAGGGGTGTATGGGGAGCGCTCGGATCTTGTTGCGCAAGTGGTTTTATCCTGGCGCCATTGACCCGCAACCGCAGTTGATTTCGTCGTATTCCTCTTGGCGGATGAGGCACCCCGACCCGCGGTTTGAGAAGCGAATTCCACGGAGCCCCCAGAGTAGTTCACCGTGACCCGCCGATGGTACTGTCCCACGATCCGGGATTTCTGGCTGACCGACCGGAGCCGAAGGAGACATGGCGCCTGGGAATTCTTCAGAGGGGAGGAGGGAAGCAACTGGACGAGCGCTGCACATGTCGGGTGAGGATTGGATGGAACAAACGTTTGTCCCGGATAGGATAGGTCTATACACCCAGTGGAGATGGGTTTGACAGACAGACCCAGCGAAAGTGGATGGTTTTCATATGTTTTCATTCACGTGCCCTGGCACGTAGCCTCGATTGACATCGCCCCCAGCGTGAGACCCGTCGGTGACCGAGCAAGTTGCACGACGTACACGTTGGTGACCGAGTATTCCCAGACCATCCATGGGACTGGAACAGTTGCAGACATTGACCCCATGAGAATGACAGACCCAGCCATGTAGGTAATACAGTGGTTTCAGAGTAGATGGCACAATCCCCAACAGATTTGTTTAAATATGGACTTTAGATCTTTTCAGGACGTCTTGGAGTGCCGTATTACCTACAATGGATGGTCTGGGTCAGAATGGATGGTCGAAACGAAGACTCCCATTCGAAGTCGGCCTTCCAAAGGCCTCGCCCTGCTCGTGGAGGTAGATCCCACCTGGCGATCTTTGGACCATCGTTGGGATTGACCCAGTGACCCAGTTGACCCTGGTTTCGTAGTGTACCAACCGGTAAAACCATGGTGGTTCGGGATTGAGACTACCCTAAGAATCCTTGGGCTCTCCATGGCAGGGGTCAGACCCTCCATAGCAGGGGTCCGGGCCCTCAAAACCCTATCTGTTTGAGGGCCGGATTCTTAGGGTAGTAAGTCAATGGTGGGCCACGAAGGCTGGGTTCCCAAAGCGTAAGTGCTGAAAGGCATCCATTCACAGAAACAAGAGACCCACAGCCTTCAGCCTGGTTCTTCAGTTCGCTTCACCGTCTTGATATCCCGGTTTCAGGTCAACAGTAGAAGGTCACTGGATGGTGCTCCATGGTCCAAAGCGGGCACTTTGAAGAAGCTGCAGGTTGTGGGTCTCTTATGCATGGTAATCCATGGAGCCAACATGAAGGAAAAACGCGTGGAGCGCTCATTTTTGGGCGGCAAAGAAGAACCAGCAACGATTTCCAAAACCCTGGAAACAAAAGAACCAGCTTTCCAGCAGCTATATATAATAACTATATAACTTATCTTTCGCGCTGCTCACAGCAAGGATTCGTCGAGTTCGTCATGAGTTTGGACTGTCGCCAGTGCCGTGAAGCAATCCAAAGTAGTACACTTCATGCTGGAAGTCAGGACCTAACTATGGAAAGAATTGTCTTTGGGTGACCCAAAAAGGGATTTCCTTTACTTCAATGTTGCAAAATATTGTCTTTGGACTTCTAAGAATAACGATCCCTATAGAGAGATGACACCACCAAGAGCAAACTCATGGCTGGCATGGAAAGGAGACCCTGCAAAATGCCAGTTGGAATCGAATGCCTTCTCCCGATGGGCGGAGCTGTCCCCAACTCCTGTCCTTACATGACACTTGCCTAACAAGAGTATGACCCAACAAATACTGTGGCATTGGCTCAAACATAGGATGCCAATGGAACACATGACGAGTCAAAGAAGAACACTCTCTCCGAAGGAAATCCGGAAGATCGCAAGGTAGCAAAAAAATACGCAAATTAAATAGCACAACAAAAAATAGCCTAAACAATCATTCTCTCCGAACTCAACCAACACTCTCCGAATTAATCCGGAAGATCTCAGCGTGCAAATAGACTAAAAAGAGGGGACTGACCACATCCGCACCTTCTGTAAAAAGGGCCATCAGCTGTTGAGACGAGACTTAATATAGGCCACACATGGCCACACACCACACGCACCACGCACCTCATGGAGGATTGGCTGCTCATCGCTTGTTTCCAGTTTCCATATGTCCAAGTGGGGTCCTATGTTTGGAGCCACGTCCACGGTGTGGGTTAAAACAACCTCACCCAAACCTCACCCTGGGTGGAAGGCTGACCTCCCAAACCGTCACACAGGAATCGGTTCATTTGACCTCTGGGTCAACCAGGGGCCCCGGAGGCGGGGTGCCGTCTTTGGGCGTGTTCCAGCGAGGATAGAAGCCCAGGTACTCTCCGACCACGACGAGGCATCGAAGAAATCCTCAGACAAACGAAGACATCGGACGAGCACATCGGACGAGCACATCGGACGCGGCGTCCGAGGACTGCAAAAGCCACCGTTTCTTGGAGAGGACGGGAACGACGACGGCCTGAATTCCTAAAGGAATGGGCTGGAAAACAATATCTCTCTCAACTTCCTGATCTAGTTCTTCGATGTTAGTTCCCCAAGTGGATGACTTTTCGCAGTTTCCGTCCCAAAAGCTGTCTGGCTTGCCGGTGCCCCAGCGAAATTGAGCTGTGGTGGACATGTGGCCCTATCTCCCTCCATCCACTGGTTAGACAAACAAGAATCGCCATTCGCAACCCTGAAATCAGGTCATCAAGGAGGATCCGGGTCCTAAGCTAGAGCTAATGAAACTCAAGGTTGCCTCATATTCCCAGCGCGTCAGGTTACTTTTCTGCCAGGTTACCAGGTCAGCTACCTCTGTGGTCTTGGAGAAAAGAATAACTGGGTCTTCCAACTGTGCCGAATTGATGCCTAATTGATGCCTGTTCAATCCCTTTTTTTAAATGTCTGAGAGCCAACCAAGTTCAGCATCAAATTCAGCACAGTTGGAGGTATTGGATTGAAATTTGACCCTCAAACCAATCGAGCCTACTACCAGCTGCGCCACTCACTCTTCGGGGTCGGGACCAGGCCAGGTGGCTCAGCCGCTGATAGGTTACTAGACAGAAAGGGCTAGGTATTCAACATGTCCTTAGGATTCCTGGCCATTGATTTGATTATCAGGTATACAATTTATTTCATTGTCTGGGATTTGAAACATCTCGGGATAACAATATGGAAACATCTCGGGATAACAATATGGCCTCTTTCAACTTGTCTGACCAAACAGATCATTCAATCGGTTTGTCATCCAATGACGGGAGTCGATGTTTCCGTGTGGTTTGAACTTTGAGGCTTCCGTGTTGTCCAACCTCCACCCTCTTCCGATCTCTAACCCGTCCTCATAGAGCAGCAGGGACACATACAAAGGCCCATCTGTGAGAAGCTCCTTGCTGACTTGCTGATATGGCATCTTAACAAATTGAGGTGTTTTCTTTACAAACATTTGGGCAGCCATTGTAGCATCGGGCGTTCCATTTCCATTCGCACATAGCGCTGACTCTCGTTATGACTTATCGTGACTCATGAAAGACCCCGAACAGCTAGTGGTTCACGTCGTCCATCCCCACAGCTTCCAATGAGTCGTAACGGAAGTGCACCGCCAATCATCCCGCTCCCCAGATACCCGTTGAATAATGCCAAAAGGTCTGACTCAGGACTTTATTTTATATATCCTTCGGGACTGAGGTCATTTCCTGAATTTTTAGTGGCCCAAGGTACGATGCAAAAAAAAAGATTGTTTTTTTGGCCTTATAACTTCCTAGGACCAAGGTGTTTTTAAAGTCCTGGGACTGAGGTCGGGACATGTGTATAAAACAAAATTATGATTCATACCGAAATGCTGTCATTGACCCTGGCTCATGTTTTTCTGCGCAAAAAGAGCTCTACTTTTTTCCTTTTGGCTGCCGAATTCCCAAATAGATCACCCACCAAATACTGAGACAGGCGAATTGAGGATATTGTCGAGTTTTTATGCGGCTAATCGGCTATGCCTGGTGTACTTCCATTGAGGGAATAGACCTGCAGAGTTTGTGTGGCGTATTAGTCATTTATAAATAGATTTTGGTGAATTGAACACTCTCGTGTCTGTGGCATGCTGCAGCCCAACACAATACATCGAGCACGACCCCGCAACACAGGGAACGACCGCGGAGTCCAAGGAACGACTGCGAAACACAAGAAAACATAATATAATCCTGAGCTTGACCCTCAAAGACCTCCAAGTGACAACATCCTTTTATAGAATCCTGCGTCTGACCTAACATGTGGTCTTTCAAGTCAGTTACATCATTGTTTATCTAGCTTTCCTGGAGTTCTGGACCAAGGACTTTTTGGGAATTCCGGATGAACCCTCATGCTTGTTATGAAGTCCTGGACGTACGTGGTTTTCGGAAAATATTTTGTACTATTTAGTGGGGTTGGGGTCCTTGATTTTAGTATGGATAACCGGACGGATATCCAGCAACACGCCACGTTTGCGCCATCGTGTTTCGCACGGACTCACCTCCACCACGGCCTCTGCTATCGAACGCTCAAAGAGTGGCTCAAAGTGGAGCCCTGTCAACTTACCTTTGACCAGGGTCGCGTGTTCCGAGTCCACTCAGATGAAGAATAGGCGAATTTAAGCTGTCAGCTCTGGATGCCTCATTATACGGTGAGGCTTCCTCAGCGCGTGGCAGATTCCAGTGATAAAGAGGTCAGACTATAGAGGTCGCCTGGCAGATTCCAGTGATGGAGAGGTCATAGATCTCATAGAGTGAGACTTCACCGCCTGTCAGCTGATTCATAGATGGAGTGGCCATAAATCCAGTGAAGGCTCTAAAGAATAGGCGAATTCCACTGCTCACTCAGGACATCATGAGGACCTGCTTCCAGAGCATCCTTTCCTGGTGGTCTCACGGATTCTCTCTGCTGCATCATCAGACTCGTCATTCAGCTCCGGAGGATATGTCACGACCTGGCTATCACTGAGCACTTCACCGATGATGTTCCCGTATACGGCAAGACTGCGCCTGGCAGATTCCAGTGATGGAGAGGTCATAGGTCCAGTGAAGGCTCTAAAGAATCGGCGACTTTAAGCTGTCAGCTCCGTGAACGCCGTGAAGACCTGGGGCGTGACCCCGACTTGGGTGAAGATGTTGGACTTCAAGCGTGCCACCTTCGACACGGCCCGCGTCAACCTGGCGCGGTTTGTGATCCTTTGGAATCTGGCACCCTTACGTCCGTGGCCTCTTCGAGGACCTCAAGAGTTGAGTCCACACATTCTCCTCCTGAATCTTGGATCTTCCAGCCTGGCGAGGGAGGTGAAGAGCACCAAGAGGAAGAGCAAGCTCCTCCTCTCGCCCTGGTTGAGATGGGCGCCGCGATCCTGAGCACGTCGTCGCGGGCGTCGTGGCTCGTCGAGCCGGCTGCGTCGACCATATGTTGTTTTCCTGCGTGGGCGGGCAATCAACGTCTCAGGTAATCCCAGGCCGCTCTGAACCACTGTCCTGTACACCGGGCCGATGTTGCGCGGGGCCGCCAATCTGGCCACGCAATGCTTGATTGATCCCGCTCAAGATGATGACCGCCATGAAGATGAAGAATATCCGCATGGAGTACGTCATCAGGTGGTGGGGGTGTGGGGCAATCTGCTCGTCGTGCCGGCTCAGGGATGTGGATGAAAAAAAGATGGAGCCCACGAACCCGAATGCAAACACGTTCGAAAGGCTACATATGTCCAAATGAAACTCTTGTAGGACACTCTTGTGGGATACTCTTGTGGGCCACTCTTGTAGGAAACTCTTGTGGGACACTCTTACGGGACACTCTTATGGGACACTCTTGTGGGACACTCTTACGG